AAAGGGCCTTCAGCCCGATAGCCGCATTAGAAAGGATTTAAGCACCTTTTCTAATGCGGCTGACGGGCTGAAGGCCCTTTATCTTTTCTAATGCGGCTATCGGGCTGAAGGTTCTTTCACTGGTCGGGCCCGGCCGAGAAATTGAGCGCCGCTGCCATGGCCTACAGGAACAGAGTGTTGGAGGCTCTCACCGACGCCTTGGCCAAGGTGACCCTCTTTGAGGACCACGCCGAGGCGCGGCAGCAGGAGGAGGAGGAAGAGGAAGAGGAAGAGGAGAAGTAGCAGGACGACGGGGACCCCACATCCCATCAGTTCCACGGGTGGAACTCCAAGTTCCACCCGCCTCACATGAGGGTGTGAGAGAGCCGTTTTTGTTATTGTGTGGGCCCATGAGTAATAATATGGAATCCTAAACTATGTCCGAGCCCTGTACGGCAGTAGGCACAGCAGACAGCAGCTTGTACCCATTTTGTTGTTTTCCTGTTCTGCTCCCGAGTCGCTGCCCCTCGGATGTGTTTTGAGATATTGCATTATGCGGGGAACAGGTTTGCATAGGTATGTATCCCCACGTTGAGCGGCAAACAAGAACAATATGAGGCACGATTATGAGAAACGCTGAGTCCGTATAAATAACGAATCCTTTCCCCCCTTCCTGTGGTCGCTCGTTTTCTCGCTGCTGCCTGCTCGTGTATCCCGCCATGGTTTTCTCTCTCCGAACAGCCGACACTGGGGGGTCTCTCGCTCCCTCGGGCACGGGTGATGCCCGTGAGGGACACTGACAGTGAGAGCGGTGGCCGCAGCAGCAGGGACATGCACTAAGCTTCGCTGTCACCGGTATCACTACCGCCACGACTGTTCGGAGAGAGAAACCCATGGCAACCCGTCCTCAGCAAACGCACGCCATCTCGAGTACTGTAGAGGGAAATAAAAATAAAATATATACTCCACACAGCGGCAGCAGGGACATGCACTAAGCATCGCTTCACTGGTGTCTATGCCGCCACGCTCCCACAATTGTTGTGTTTGTTGTGTGCGTTTCTCTTCGTTGCACCACTTGTTGGAGCTTTTGTGCTGCAGAAAGATGTTTGTTTATGGTTGGTTTGTTGAGCCTTTGCGAATCACATTCGGGACCATGAGACAGAAGGCCGTTCATGTAGCAACGGCAGGCTCGACTATTGGGGGGGAGTCTTGTCTGATACCGCTTGGTTCTCATAGTCAACGGACACTGGCTACAGAGTTTATCCAACGTCTGTCATCGTTTGAAAATTATCAACTATTGTGAAGTATTTTCGTTCGTCAATTTTTCCAGAGATGGATGTTTCGACCGTACTAATAAATAGAGCTGGTGTGCGTAATAGCTGGAAGATCACCATTTTTTTTTGCGATGATTTTTTTGGTTCGACAATGAAAAGCTGCTCGACGTGCTTGCCAGTCGTGAGCGCGCGTGTTGATGTTTGTTTGTAAATTACTGCGGGATCACCATATCACCCAAAAACACTTTTCACGATGAATGATCGATGGGGGGACGATCCACAATGAATACTAAGCTTGTCGTGTTTTGTCAAACGAGCGCAAAGCCGGTGGTTCGTGTGTTTCGTTTTGCGTTCTTGCAGCTATTGCGTGACTCCAAGTTTTGGTGAAGGCGTGATGGCTAGATTGGAAGATTTTCTGTTTTAGGCGTGTACAGTGTCCTGTGGACGTTTTGAAATGGTTCTTGACGGATGTCATTCGGAGATCAATCAGTCAGACCTGTTGCGCGTATGTGTTGCGCGTTTTTTTTAATCGCATATCATCCACCGCGCTAGCCGGCTGACCATTGCAAAGATCGTCAGTCAGGTCGTAAATATATATGTTTGTGTGTCTGCAACGTATCGTATCATGTGCCTTTGAACGTCGCGTGCTATCCAAACGGCCCTTGAGAAGTTAATAACATCGTGTCTTGGTGAACGGCGAAACGTTTTCAGGGCGTAGGTAGGTGTGGTTCGATTTGTTGTACGTGCTGTGCGATACTTTTAAAATTGTTTGTTGTGCGCTCCCCACATGCTTTGCGGTTATTTCGTCAACGTTTGGTTGGATAATCCTTTTATTTTTCGTGCGCATGTGTTGCCGTTTGACAAGCCTAAAGGGCTGACCAAATCGAGCTGAGTTTTCTTTGCTGTGCGCCGCCTGCACTTGTTGGCATGAATTATGAGGCAGGTGTCATTTATCATGTTACAGACATCTTGTGCAGTGGTCGTGGAGAGTGTGGAGTGTTGAGTGAAAATCGAGTCTCTTTATCTGTCGCTTGTCATGTCTTGCTCACGTTGGAGTTGGGTGTTGCCTTTGCCGTGCTGTGGTGATGCTACATGTAGGAGTACGCGCCATTGATGACAATCAATGGAGGGAGGAGGTAGACGGGGCGTGTACGGATGAATGTCAGACGCTTCGGGGACGCAAATGAAGTCAGGTGCTACCAGTGTTGCAGTTGTTTGTGGATGGCAATAGTCAGACGAAGGGAGTGGAGTGACCTGTCGGCTGTCGGCAGCAGTACAAGTTTTAGTTTTTTCTTCATTTTTGTTGTTTTATGTTGCCCTTCGTTGTCGCGGCTGCTCTTGTTGGCTTGTCGCAGAACGGAAGCGGAGATAAGCTGGACGTTGTTGGTCTCGAAACTGACAGACAAAGGGGTTACAGATTTCAGATCGCCAAGGCCGGTGCGCCTGAGCTTCGGTGACCGGGGATCCGGCAATGATGTAATGTGGCACACGTTTTTCTATGCATACGTACCATCAGCTTTGCGAGCGGCGAATGCCTGCTGTGTTTTGTATTGTGGCGCGTGCGTGTCGTTCCGCTGTTTTACAGTTCAAACTTGTGGCGGAAGAAGAAAATGAATGGTGATTCGAGGCATGAACCAAGATGTTTGATGGTAAACCACCCGACCCGACCGCATGCAGTGTGGGGAACCGAAACCGCAAAAGAAAGCGGGCAAGACGGGTATCACTGAGAGAAGTGTGCGTCCTTGGTCCTTTTTTGTTTAATCTTCCACCTTTCACAAGTTCCGCAGGCAGACTCCGTGGCACGTTCGTGCGCGCTACTGCTTGGCGCAGACCGTTCGTAAAGGACACGGACACGCCGGTAGCCGGTAGGGCAAGGTCGCCCTGCATTCCTCACAAGACTCGAACTTGCCAAGTCGCCGTTTTTCCGCTCAAACTACTGCGCGGCTTGAACATGAAGTAGGCGGCTTGGGCAGTCACAGACTAGACGAGCTGAGTCATCGCCAAGAGAGACACTAAATATCGGGGCAAAATGTAGCCGAAGAACTCCAACCGATCAATCTTCAGTTCTTTGCCCTTCTGTCTCGGATGTTTCCGTAACACTCCATCGAGTTGTTCACGGGCAAAGTGTATCCTTCGCCTTGTTCTTAAGAGAAAAAACAAACACACACACACACACACATGTACACATCTACTCTGCATAAATGAAGGGCATCCCCATAGCTAAACAACCGTGACCACGCAGCCAATCTTCGCCCTCATCGCCGGCGTCACGCCGGGAATTCCTAGAAACGAAAGGAGGCGTGTCAAATGAAAATAGCCTTCCCCGCGAAGCGTATTCCGGCCGCCGGCCCGAAGCATCATGTGGCGGGCATGTCCTCCCGCGCCGCATACCCAAACACTACCGATCGCTACTTCAGCAGTACCACCAAAACGGGCGGCCGAACAAATGGTGAGCACCGAGGAGCAAAGCATGTGCCACACGAATGTACGGGCAGTAGATTGTTCATCTTGCATGGCAAAATCACTCAACAATGAATCAGTGTGCCGCCGGAGGAAGAAGCGCCCACAAAATAATTAAGAGGCGGCAAAGCCTCCTTGCTAGCTCTTCGCACCGGCAAACCCCGCAACAACAGCGAAAGCCAAAAAACACCCCCTGACATTATGTGTGGCGCAGAAGTCATCCGGAACGAGGACACAAATGCACCCCCATCTACCAAACCCACCCGTTCAGTGTTTGTCTATCACACGACAGCCTTGTCGCCGGGAACACTTTTGCCGGGTTGGCCCAAGTTATCCGACATGGGCGTTGCGGCATCGCTCTCAGACTCTCCCCCTTCCACCAGGCGCCGGCTGCCCATTTCGAGGGTCGAGTACGCGGGGCCTCCCCCGCCTCCCGCCCTAATCCTCCTCCCGCCGCTTGTCGTCGCGGTAGCGCCAACGCCAACACGGCGAGACGAGCAGCAGAGCACGGAGAGGCCGCCACACAAGCTAGCTTGCACCTCCACCAGCTCCGACAGCTGCTCCACGCTCTGTGTGGTAAGGTGTACGGGGCATCGGAGACCGAACGGGGCAACGGGGGAAAGCGAACTATGCTGTTGAACAGCCGCGGTCTGAAGGGAGAGGGGTACTTCGCCCTCAGAATCACCCTGAAAGTACCGCTTTGGCTGTAGGGCAACGAGGCTAGCCGCGAGCAAGATCATTATTGCTGAGGCGACACTGCTGTATGACAGCCACAAGCGTTCCGCAGCCAAGCATTCGGCATCCAGTCATAGCGCGGACAAGACCTATCTCGAACGGGTAGTCTTTCGGTATGATGTGTATAGTTTCTAAAAACTATCTCATAGTGGAAGCCATGGACTTGGAGCCAGCGTCCACGTCAGACCAAGGGATCCCGGTACAGCACGAAGCATAAACGAAGTAACCCTCATCAGGATGCCTAATCCCAACTACACAACAAACTACGTGCTTTGTGTACATACATATTGCTGAACAATACCCAACCCCGACAGCGTAAACCAAGACCCCGAAAATTGCCACACAATCATACGACGCCCTGAGACAAACGAACCTGGGAAACAAGCGCTAGTCCAGAGGAAACACGTTCCATCTCCGACTCCAAACGCCGCACTCTCTCCAAGTAGATCGAGTCCTTGGGCGTCTGAAACGACGGTTGGGTTCGTTTCGCGGACAGGCGTGTTAAGGTCAGGGAGAGTCCAGCAGCACCAAACAACATGAAACGGACTAGCAAACAAACAACAACAGAGGCGCGTCGTGTGACCGGCAGGCGCATCGTTCATTCTCGTCAAAGAACCAAGCACCAAAGGCGCACAGAAGGGAGCCAAAAATCAACACGAGGGCAACATGGCTTCAGCGACAAATGGTCAAGGAGATACATTTTTGCTCGTGTTTATGCTGCACCGCCAACTGACTGACCCCCGTAAACACAATGTCTCGATGTCGGTTCTTCCTCTGAAGGAAAGGCTGCAATGACGACGTGATGAGTCGCCGCATCCGCTACAGCAAAACATAGCTATTATAGTGAGTAGGAGTCTATACACATTCACATTTCGGTACAGTATGTGATCCACCTGTGGAAGTACTGTTGCTGCTGTTGCCTTCGTCAATCTCGCTGGGGCATGCGTTCGTGCAAGCGCACCACAGCACAGCGGGAACAAAACACACGCACACCCAACCACCGACCCTGCTTACATACGAAAATGCATCCGTACCCGCAAACGCTCTCCCCTGAAGCCCCGAAATCCAGCACTTGGCCGCGGAAAAACAACAAAGATCCCGCAGGAGGAACACGCGCCACCAACGGTACAGCTCACAAAAGCACGGAAAGCCTCGTGTTGGCCTGCCTCCCTTCCCCCACCTACCTGATTCCCAAGCCTGCTGGACCCCCGCCAGAAGCCAGGACCGCCCCCCTGGTCTCCGCTTGCCGCCGAGCCGGAAGGCGAGTCCAACCTGTCCGATATGACGCTCGAGCTCGCGTCCTAGAAAACCACCAACGTGAACACCGTGCATTCGGTGGGGTGTTAGACCGGGGGGGGTCGGGAGAAACGCGGGCACGAGGAAAGGGGACCGGCGGATTGCAGGAGATACACTTGGGATCTTCTTTCGCTCGGAGTGATTGAGGTGGAGAACGAAAAACACGACCACGACAATGCGGCCAACATAATATTGTTCGTCGCCCCCATCCTTTTCGATTCGGAGTGAAATAGGCAGGGAGGGAGACCGAGGCACGCGATCGATGCGGCGGGGAGGGTTACCGTCGAGAAGATTCGCGTCGTCGATCCCGGACCACAGGTTGGGAAGCAAACACAACGGCATGTGGCCGCGGTTGTCGCCAGGAACATGCCCATCACAACGCCTACCTACTACCTACAGGGCACGCGCAAGAGGCCACAACACTGCGAAAAAAAGCAATCCACGCGCATGTACCCGTGCACGTGGAGAAGCGATGCACACCACCATTCTTCTATAATAGCCGGATAGATCGAACAAAACACACGCACGCACACACACACACACACACACGCCCGTCCCTGTCGCCAGGTGCGAGAAAAAAGGCAAGCTTTCAATCCGAATACGCGCACCCAGAGACGTGGACGGAGGGAAGGGGGGGGGGGGGGAGGGAGGCGGAGATAGAGAGAAGAGCTACAATGGAGACGGACACAAAGGGCGTCAGGTCGAAGCGAGAGGTACACTCATATCACAAAACGCTTACCTCAGGCGCCCCGCCGATCATGCCGCTGCCGCTGCCGCTGCCGCCCATGAGAGCTACCCTGGACAAATCGGAGGACTGCTGCTGGTGCCAAGCGACCGGAGGTTCGTCGGCACCCGCCACCCTCCCCCGAAGCCGCGCCAGGCTTGATTGGGCCGCCTGCCGAGTCGCAACCAAGGGTTGCAAGGGGGAGAAAGCAGGGCAAGCCGCATCTCATCAGAGAGTTCGTAACGCAACAAGTTGACAGAAAAAGCGGATGCCGAAAAGCCGGGTACGGATGACACAATTTTTGTGGGATCAGGACACCCAGGTGTAGCACCCAGGTGTAGCCCCGTCCACTCCCCTGGGCGTTGGCGGTTGTAGCCTCGCTCATGACCGCAAACTGTTGTACTTGGTTGCAGTGGTAGCATCGCCATATGCTCTTAGGCAGGCAGACGCTCGAACAGCAACGCAAGACATCGACGGACAAACTCCCCGCGCGATCGGAGGCAGAGGCAGACGCGACAAAACAAACACAAGAAGAGACGAATATAACCACAAAACCACTGAAGGCGAAAAAGCAAAAACGTATCACAAGAGGGGTGTCTCCCATCATTGTGTGCGAATCACCACAGGTCCGGGCTCTCTGTCTGTCTGTATCACCGTCTCTCTGTCTCTTTGGTCTCTCTGTCAGTTTCACACTCCGTCTCTTCGTCTCTTTGTCTTTCTCTCCCTCTCCCTCTCTCTCTCTCTCTCTCTCTCTCTCTCTCTCTCTCTCTCTCTCTCTCTCTTTGCCTGTCTCTGTCCACCTGTCTCTCTCTCTCTCTCTCGGCCTGTCTTTGTCCGCCTGTCTCCCTCCCTCTCGGTCGCCTTCCATCCCTCCCCCCCTCCTTCTCTCACCTGTAGGTTGGTGGCCAGCCTAACGCCCCCGGCCCTCGACAAGCGGTGCACCGACAGCTCTGCCGTCATCACCACCCGCTCCAGCACCGTTGCCTGCAAAGAAAGACATACACCCATCCAATCATCTATCTCTTCAGTCACCAAGGAACTCCGTTCCTTCATACCCAGCATGCGCAACAAAGAAGGCGAGTGTCGAGGCGTAAACTAAGCGCGTCGAGTCGCCGGGTTGTGATACTGATCGATGCATCACCTGCTACTTGGGGGGGCGCTTGAGACAGACGGAACTGGTTTCTCAAATGATTTTCGTGTCAGGAGAGTTGGACATATTCCCGCACTGTCTTTGTACCTTGCGTGTGGGTCGAATTAGGCTACTGTATGGCCATGGGAACAAGGAGCATCTGTGAGGTAGCGGGACAGAGGTCAGAGCGGTCTGTGTGTTACAACAACAACAACATCAACGACACCGAAAACAACAACACACCTGGTCGATGGCCTTGGGCACAAGCTTGTACTGCAGGGCGTGGCCGACCGCTTTGTGCCCGTCTCTCTCGGCTTCCAGCGTCTTGTCGAGGGAGATCATCATCGACCGCGCCTCCAGCCGCTTCTTCTTGTGGAGGTTGGCCTCCTCGATCTTTGTTACCAGGCTGAAAAACGAAAGGAGGCAGTGTGTGATAATTCGTTGACAAGGGCACCGCAACAGTCGGCGAGGCAGGGGCCCCCAACGGGGCAAGCACGTGGCCAAGCAATTGGAAGACCAATCATGCATGTCCTCCAGTTCAACACGAGTTTGACATGCCGAACAGAGACACAATGACTGCACGACCCGCTCACGCAAGGACAAACAAAAAACAACAAAACGTACCTGACACAAACAAAAATTGTATGCTGAAACAACCAAATTGTGCACTGCTGCAGATCGCGCATCAACCGTGTTCCCGTGGATAGCTACTTTCTCTTCTCCAAACCCGACATTCTTCTTTAGAATCCGCTGTGCTCGCATCTCAGTCCTCTTTGTCACATCCGTTACCATTAATTCAAAACGCCTCCCCCATTTTGTTCTTCTTGTCTGCTGTGCCCCCCCCCGGCCCCGCTCACCTTTGTTCGAGCCCCTGTGCCTTTTCCTCCCTCTCGCCAGTCTCGGTCATCATGAGATGTCGCAACCTCAAAGTTTCGGATTCGAGAGCGGCATTCTGCAGGTGCCGTTGCGTTTGGGGGGGGGGGGGGGGGGGGGAACCCTTTTTTGGTTGGCCTAAACATTTTAACCTTTAACCCCCGCCCCTTTTTAAAAGGAGAACCCTTTCCCCCCCCAAAAAAAAAACCCACAAAATTTTGGAGACCTTTTATTTTTTCCCCCAAAAACCTTAAAAAAATTTTGGGAAATTTTACCCCCCCCCCTAGGGGCCCTTTGGGCCCCCCACCGGGGGGGGGGGGGGGGGGGGGGGGGGGGGTAATCCAATCACCAAAAAAAAAAGGAGGAAGA